GGTGGTACGTAGTTTTATGTATTTAGGTAAAAGGCCACACAGGGATAATTCTCCCAACCCTGTCCCCTTCCAGCTTACCTTACTTCCCCGTCTCCCATGGGAGAGTTTAATTTCTTATACCCTCTCCTTCTAGAATTTCTTTAGCATATACAGGCGAATATAAATATTTAGTCTTTTTTTTAACCCCTTAATTATTACACTCTATAAGTTTAATTTTGTATTTTATAGAAACACCTGAATGGTGATATACAAAGTAATTTAACTTCTGTCAGAAAACTAGGAGGAATTGAACATCAGAGAGATACTTCTATGAAATGACATTTATTGATGCCATTTGGCCTTCAGTCTATTTAGGAATAAAGATGATTAGATAAATACATGAAACTATTCAGAAACGCTCAACTTAATAGAAGCGTCTTAGGATAAATCCTTATGTAAGTGGGGCAGTTAGAAGTTTGGGGTTTTGCCTTAGAAGGTGTGCTTTAAGGGAAGGAGCTGTCCCTGGGCAGAGAGGCACCCTCAGTACATGCGCTGTTGTTCGAGTCCAGCTCCCTCTAGGGACTTAGAGTTTCTGGGTGGAGTAGTTCACATTTCAGAGCATTCTTTGTTCTTGGAGTTTACTTCTGAGATTTAAGTTAATTCTTCATGCTGTGAAAAATCTACACTTTACCCTTAAAATTAAACACTGTTGTGGCACTTTGAGATGTTCACTGAAACCCCTGAAGGACTGTTACCATTAACCAGGTGTCCTATACATCCTGGTTCCTGGACGCCTTCAACTACGCCATCTTAAAGAAGATCGACGTGCTCAACCTCAGCATCGGGGGCCCCGACTTCATGGACCATCCGTTTGTCGACAAGGTTGGTCATGTCACTGCACAGAAGGACGTTGCCTTTGGTGATGGCCCCTGCTCTTTTACATGCCCGACTTTCGAGTGCTTCATCTCTAGTGTGCTGGTGGCTTGTCACCCATGAGGTGACCGCTCTGTGAGGACAGATGGGTGATGACATGAGCTTTAGTGGCTTGCATCGGAAGTAGCCCGTGGTGCCTAGTTGATTCCTTCTCATCTAAACATAAGCTGTTTTTTTGAACATGCCTGGAAAGCCGGTGTCTGCTCTGTGCACTCTGTAATCCTACATCCTGGCTTTTGTTATCTAAACATACTTGTTAGCAAGCACATTCAGGTCTGTAAGGGTCTAGTCACGCAGCGGTTCTCAACCTGTGGGTCGCGACCCCTTTGGGGGTCGAATGACCCTTTCACAGGGGTCGCCTAAGACCATCGGAAAACAAAAAGATATTTACATTACGATTCATAACAGTAGCAAAATTCCAGTTATGGAGTAGCAACGAAAATAATTTTATGGTTGGGGGTCACCACAACATGAGGAACTGTATTAAGGGGTTGCGGCATTAGGAAGGTTGAGAACCGCTGGTCTAGTGTTATATTTTCGGGGGGAACCCTTCTTGTTTTAGGACTGGTTTTCAAAGCTGTGGTTATTTATTTTTTTTAACAGTTCTGTGTTGATTGTTTAAAAGTGGTGTACTGTCATAAGTAAATGCTTGCTAATTTTGTAGGTGTGGGAGTTAACGGCTAACAACGTGATCATGGTTTCTGCTATTGGCAACGATGGGCCTCTTTATGGGTAAGTATCCCCAATAGGGATGAACTTAAAGGTGTTCATTTTTCCCCTGAAATAACTGAAAAAACTATCTGTTGTCTGTCTGTTTCCGTATTTATCTATACTTGTGTATATCTATCTAAAACCCTGCATATGGAAATTTTCAACATACCAAGAAATAGACTGTGTGTAATAAACCTCACATCCCCACCACTTGCTTCAGCAGTTGTCAACTCAAGGCCAATTTTGTTTCTGTTTAATTTTTATTTTATTATTTCTTTACTTGGCTATAAATAGCAATTTGGAGGCCTAATGTTTTATTCTCCTTTTTTTTTCTTTCAAAATCAGTGAGGAAGATAAATCTATTAGAACTAAATGGATTCTGCAGTATTTATTGAGATGAACTCTGCATGAAGCACAGGGGTGAAGAGGCAGATAAGATGAGGGGTCTGCCTCTAGGAAAGATAAGCTGCAGATACAAAGGAACTAACATGGGAGAAAGCGACATAACAGATGCAGATGGCCCTTTGGGGATTGACGAGAGGGATCAGGTGGCGGAAGCAGAGAGAACAGTGTCATGGAAACGTTCCTTTTGTGCCGTGCTGTCATGGGGAACTGAAGCAGCATGAGACGCGAAACGTTAGTCACTGAATCACACGCAGTCAAGTTTGGTTAAAGATCCCAGTTTTCCTTCTTCCTGAAGCTCTGATTTTCACTCTGTAGGTAACATATGTGAATAATCTCTCATGCTGAAACGCTTTCGCAGTAAGATGTTTGTTGCCCTTCTTTATTGGGTACCCAGGATGTGTGCAGTTCAGTGCTGTGACAGAGGATTTGAGGTCATCACAAAGGAAAAAGAAAAAATACAGCCTCTTCCCTCAGTGCTCCATAACCCAGTAGAGGGAGAGACGAATGTATGCGTTCCCTCCTGCGTGCATGTGGCTCCACCGTGTACATGGCAAGGACGTGTGCGAGTGCCTTCAGAAACGCTCGCTCATTGCGTCTCGCAGTGACACCCCTAGGAGTTCATGCTTGGGAGAGCAAGCTGCCTTGAGGGCTGGCTGAGCTTAATGCAAAGCGTCCAGGGCATAGGGTTAGGCTGAATATATGAAATTAATGTTTTTATAGGTCAAAAACCATGCATATGGGCAGTCATGGTTCCAGCCTAATAGCTGTTTAGTCAGTGATGCTATCTCCTTGTAAGGGGTCCAAGGTTCTGGATTTTTCTGTGTCAGTAATATATGTTGTGACTCGTTCTAAAGGTAGCTCTACCGTGAAAAACACCAATTACTAAGTAACCTCATCAAGTTTTCTTGTTTTCTCTTTCTAATGTTTCTGCTATTTTCCAGTTCTCCCCTTACTGATATCCCACTCAAGGCCAGCCCTTATCAGTTCAGAGTCACCAGGTTGTCAGCCAGTCATCCAGCCCTCAGTCTTTTCCCACCCCAGCTCTTCTTGTGTGGGCGACGTGGGGTTGTGGAAAGAGCACAGGCGTGGAGCCGGGTGACTCCGACCTGCCCCCCGCAGGCTGTGGGACCTTCACTCTTTGAGCCTCAGATTCCTCACCTGTCACAGGCGGGCATGCGACCCACCCTGGTTAGTGGTTTTGAGGATGAAATTAGAGAACAAAGGGAAAGCACGACAAATACTGAGCCTCTATAAGTGATGGCTGTTCTTTTTTTTTTTTCCCTTTTTTCCTGTGTTTCTACTGTTAAAATACATGTTCTAGCAGTTTTCTGACTCTAGAATCTGTAGTGGATGATTATCACCTAATCAAATCCAAGTTTTTCTCCTTGGTTTTCAAGGTCATCAGTATTTTAGCCTGGAGCCTGCAAAGTTTTTCTGTAAAGGATCAGATAGTAAATGCTTAGGCTTTGCAGGCCACGTAGTGTTACAATTACTCAACTGCTCTTGTCCTGTGAAGGCAGCCTTGGAATGTGTGAACAAATGGGCGTGGCTGTGTTCCAGTAAAACTTTATTTACAGAAACAGGTGGTGGGCCTGTCTTGAGCCAAAGCCATAATTCCCCAACTGTAGCCTGAGGCTGTTGGCTCAGCCTTATTTTCCACACTGCATGCACATCTTCCTCCCATCAGTCTCCTCCTGGGTCTCCCTGAGGAAACCACGTTTGTCCCAGTCTCCATCACCTGTGTTTCTGCTCCTAACCCTCCTAGCTGGCCTTTCTTCTGTTCATACCTCTCGACTACCAGCTCTTCCACATGCCATTCTGACTGCTGTGCCACACACTAATCGCTTTTCTGAAATCTCTGGGCAGTCATATTCAATGGCTTCTAATCAAAGAGTTGTTCATTCTCAGTGTGTTAGAGAACTCTGGAGAGGAGGGTCTCGTGTCAGGCTCGAATCTGCTCATATTGCTGCACAGAGATGTGGCACCTGCCAGCTGCTTTTAGTGCTGAAAGTGGCATGTAATCACTGAGGCATTGCTTACACAGTTCTGGCTTACTGCTTGGGCATGGGTAGGGCTGGACAGATGGCAGTAATGTGCCCAAAGAGCTGTGTCACTTATCACAGGCATTGCACTGCCAGCCCCTCTGGAACTAATTCTTGCATCCCCGGGTACCCCTTGCTGTGAGCTATCTTGGGGTCCCGCACCCTTGAGACTTAGACTTCATGGTGCAGGGAGTTTGCAGCTGCAGGTGCCCTTTGAACATCAGCAAAGATTTCTTGATGCTTTCCCTTATGTTTTAAAGGTTTAAAGCACACTAAGTATTACAGAGATTGACAGGTAGAAGGAGGGTGGGAAGGTGGCTTTTTTGGTGTGTCAGCTATAGTGGGAAGGTTTATCAGTGACTTCTGTACTAATCTCTGCTCCTTGATTTCATAGACATTTGTAAATTTCTAGCATCAGCCTATAAAATGTCACTGTTGGTACCTTTGAACAGCCACCTGGTGGCATGTCAGTGGCCAGTGAGCTAAGAAGGTAGTGCCAAGGTTGACTCAGTGTGGTTTAAAAAAGTAGAAGCTCTAGAATTTTGCTACTAATATCACTTAAGCCACTTGGAATCAGTTTGGGTTATTGAATTGTCAAAGAGTTTATTTTTATTTTTTTGGCAGGAGAGCTGTAAAAATCAAGCTCAGAAATGCAGTTTCGAAGCGAGTTGTTTTATACTTTCTAATAGTTTAGCTGCATCTTGATTTAGATCTTGACTTTATAGTTTAAACATTTTTGTCAGTATTTATTTCATTATAATTTCCTTGCAGATGTAGTACTCTTGAAGTATTGAATTACACGTTTTTTTCTCTTATATCCATGTCTTTCCTCTGAGGAGCTCCAGATTCTAGAGTAATGATAGTCATTTCCACAGTTCCCCGGGAGGAAAGTGGAATGCCCTGCAAAGATCTCTTGAAAATTTTATGACTTCCTGATCATGGCAGATGCAAATGTGTGATTATAGTTCCTTCCCAGAGAAATGTGGACTCTAGCTGGGGAGGCAGGATGAATACACTTGGGACGATTTGAAAGCGATGTAAGAATGTGTGTGTAGGTGATGAATTATCATAGTGTTAAGTCTAGTGAAGTTCAGAGAACGGGGGAGCGCCTCCAAGCCTGGAAGTTGTGAGGGAAAAAGTGAGTCCTGGGCTGCAGTCTGATAAGCTGACAGGGAAGTGAGGTAAGAAAGTGTGTTCCAGGTACAGGAAATGATTTGAGCCCAGCGTGAAGGTGGCAGTGAGCGTGGCCTTTCGCAGGACAGCTGTGAGGAACAGAAGTCCATCCCAGCCACACAGAAGAGCCTCATACGGTCTTAGATTTTTCTGGGAGTCATTGCCCTTATTTGAATTAGTTCATTTAAAATTCTTTCTCTTCCTTTGTGTTTTTTGTGCCTCAATTTAGCACTCTGAATAACCCCGCTGATCAAATGGATGTGATTGGAGTAGGTGGCATTGACTTTGAGGATAACATCGCCCGCTTCTCTTCAAGGGGAATGACTACCTGGGTAGGCTTCTCTTCATTAGTCGAATGTGCCTAAAGGAACCATTTGTCTAAAAGCCTAGGGGTGTATTTATAAGTGCACAGATAGAAAAGCAGCATTTAAGCCCAATCCTCGCATGCACAGATGGCATAGGCAGGGCTGCGGTACTTACCTGGCCATGAAGATGCGAGATCTGGCCCCTCTGACATCTGCCTCTTCACTGGCGCCCCAGGCAGGGGCCAGTTCTGAGAGGCATTTCCCTGTTGCATTTCTTTTTAACTTATTTCCAAGTGACTCACTTTTTAGGTCAACTGGATTCATGCCCACTTGTCCTAACTAGTAGGAAGATGAGCAGTCTTGCTTGGTGCTGGGTAAGATGACTTTTTTGCCTTAAGCAAGAGAAACCACTGAGAAGAACTTACTATCAACTCTGCTAACACAGAGATAATTGTATATAGTTGGACAAAATCAAAATAATCCTGCAAGTTAAATAATTTGGCTACTCAGGTCTTAATTATGCTGCTAATTCCTCCTCCTCTACCCATCAGGACAGAGTTGGATTAGAGTTAGTCGCTCCCTCAAGCAGCACTGGTCACTTGCCTGCCCCTCGCAGTCTTCAGGGTCAGATCACCTCTTGGGTGCTCTAATTCAGGGGTGCCGAGCGGGAAGTTTTGGGAAGTCCCAGAAGAGAGTCACAGCCTCCTGAGAATATTGTGGCCTGTCCACACTGGCGCCCCTTAATGGGATAGCTTTTCCCCTTGACAGCGTCACCTCTCCTGGTGCCTCTTCAGTTGGCCCCACCATGGGTCCATGCCTTGCGTACTCAGATGCCTCCTGGAATGAGGTTCATTGAATTGTTGCCACAGCCTGCTGGTGGACCCCACTCTGAGAAAGTCAGTCCCAGGGATGTGTTTCATACCCGTTCATCTGCCCTCCCTCAGCACTTTTTTTTACTGCCAAATACTTGGAAAGGATGCCTGTACTAGTTGATGTCCCTGTAGCTCCATTGTAAATGCGTTCACGGAATTATAATGCAGTATCATGTCCTCGGCCTTTGTCATGGCCTTGATTTTTAATGACATTTTGAGAAATGTCCCTGAATCATCTACAGAGCTGCCGTTGAAGATGTCTTTACTCAGTGTCCCACGTAGATGGGTGCAGAGTCTGTTTATGTTTGATTGGAGTACTTCTTTCTACAGAGCATAGACCCTATTGTCATTCTCATTTTTGCTTCAGTTTCCAGGAAGTTTCAGAGTACTCAGTTAAGAATCTTTTCCCAAGTTACCTTTATCATTCTGAATGGCTTCTTCTTTCTCTTTTGGTGACAGATTGAAATCTTCAGTCATATTATATTATGTACTTTTTTCCTTATAAAGAAAATATTTTTTTCCTAACTTTTAATTTTAATTTTCTGATTTTTCTAAGATATCTCTAATTTTTAAGTTATCCAGAGATAAATCAGTTTCCAGTGTCGAGTCTTGCATGTTAGCAAAATTAAAAATATTCATTTTTAATTGCTTTATGGCATTGCTGTTACACTGGTTATTATAAAACACACCCAAAATAATTTTATTTTCTACATTATCGTTTAAGCTTGTTTTCTGTACTGCAGTGAATTTCAGACAAAAACTAGTAACTTACTGAAGTTGTGCTATATTTAAATAACCCATATTTCTGTTCTGGTTTTATTCACTGATAACCACACTTAACTGTGTGCCAGTATGTGTGCCGTGGTGGAAACCAACCTGCTTTTATTCATAGGAGCTACCAGGAGGCTATGGCCGTGTGAAACCTGATATTGTCACCTATGGTGCTGGAGTGAGGGGCTCCGGTGTGAAAGGAGGATGCCGGGCCCTCTCAGGGACCAGCGTGGCTTCTCCGGTGGTCGCAGGTGCTGTCACTTTGCTAGTCAGGTAAGTGTTGCTGAACAGAGAAGGTGGTGCCAGCAGACCAGAAGCTGAGTCTTGCTTGTCCCCAGCTAGGTTTAGAATTGAGGAGCACATCATGTGACCTTGCTCTGTCTGTCTTCATCTCTACACAAGAGGTCAGAGTGCGTTCTTTGATAGAGGATTTTTGTGACAGTGAAGGGCATACGTGGGAACATACTATGTAAACTAAACCATAAAGCACTGTACAAGGACAGAATACTATTGCTTTCGTTATGTTTGAGGTCTAGTTTTGTTTGGGGGCTTTTTTTTTTTTTTAAGGTTTTTTTTAGAGCAGTTTTAGGATCACAGCAAAATTGAAAGTACAGAGATTCTCCATGTCCCTTGTGCCCCATTTTGTTTGTTTTTACACCGTTTTTGTGCTACAGCTGTATTTATTATATCCAAGCAAGTGTGTTTATCAGGCAGGGGATAAAAAGTAAGATATTTCCCTGCCGTATCCTTCATTTCCTTGGGGATGCACCTTTTAATGTTCTCTCTTAGCTAAGGAGCTGACAAACCAGCAGTCACCACTCCTTTAAAGAGACAGGTTTCTCTGTGCAGTTTACTTATTTGTCTTGTTGAATCCCATCCACAGTTGGAATGGAGCTTAGTCGTCGACCCTTCATTTTGCAGTTAATGAAACTGGAAGAAAGTTCTTAGAGATAGTCCACTGGAATTGACGTTCATAGGCTCTGACTTAGTCAGATGGGCCATCGTGCCTTACTCGCAAAATCATAAAAAGATGTCTTTGGAGCTAGCACTTATTTTATATTTTACCTCCCCCCAAAACTGTTCCTATCTCACCTCCCCAAAAATCCTTTCTATCTAGGTGAGGTTTTAGTTGAGCTTTCTTTCGTGTTGTGATAACACAAAACTCGGCATATTTCAAAGTTATTATACTCTATGTTAATTTTAAAATTAAAACAGTCAAATGATAGTAAATGTTCTCATATTTAAAATTCTCTTAAATTTATGTTGACTTTAGCTTCTAATGCCAGAGACTTTTTTGTATTAATAATCTTTCATACAGGTAGATGTTTGCCTCTTTCCTCCTTTACCCAGCCTTCCCTTCAGTTCAGAGCCACGTTCTTGAAATTGTTGGCATTGGCCAGAGTAGTCTTTGGAGAAGAACCATCTGCCTGTTAGAAGCGTTGTCTTTCTGTTCTAGTTGTTTTCTTCACCCCCGTGTTACGTGTAGTGACAAGAGAGGGAAGGGAATGCAGACTGGGGAGTTCCCTGGCTCACCTAGGCTTCTGTATCCTCCAGGAGGAGAGGATTCAGCTAGGCTCCTTTTTGTTCACTGTTGTTGATTGTGAAACAAAAAATAATGGTTCACGTCTCCCACTTACCATGATCGTTAGCAGGAATGAAGTTTCAGGCTCCACTGTTGAGCCTGTCAAAACTGTGTCCTGTCACATGAGTGGGGAGGTGAGGGTGTGGGGCTCTATCCCCAGAGGCAGCTCTAAGTACAGATATTTTCAGTGTCAAGGAAACCTTTCACTTTCCTCATTCCCCTGCAGCAGATAAAAATGCCACTGTGATAGTTCAGAAATATTTTTATGGCCTGACAAATAGCTCATGATAGAGGCTGAGCGACAAGAAAGTGCGTCCTCAGCTTCCAGCCTCCCATTGCTCAATAAGGAACTAGAACCTAACCTTTGGTCTTGCTTTATCAGCGGGAAGAGGGAATGATTGGTGACCTATAGCTGAGCCCTTAGTAGTTCTTTTATTGTCATTGAAAATCGGTTCCACTTTATGTCCTGTTACTTCTCCTTATGTCAGATTTCCCATCTAGACCTGTTAGAAAAACCTGCCTACACTCCCCAAGACCAACCACCATTAAAGAGAAATATTTAGGAACTTCAGATAGTAAGTTTTTCTTTTTTTGCTCACTGGATTTTCTTCCCTGCATTGAGAGGTTAAAATGTACTTGTGTTTATAATGCGTGGCTATACAAAAGTGAGTGTTTTAATGCTAGCATTCTTAAGCAGTTGATACTGCTTAGGTGTCAAGTTCCTGCCTAGTAGAGCTGAGTGTTCAGGTTTGTCCAGATGCATTCTGATGATGAAACTCTCAAGGTGGCCTCCGCTCTGCACAGTTCTCAGGCTTTATGCACCAGCGTGATGCATCACACGCCGGCCTCCAGAGCAGAAAAGGCAGCTTGGGCCGTGGAGGTGGCGGGCTCCACTCAGACACTGTGCCCCTTGCCCAGCCTGCATCAGCTCCCGCTCCAGGACCCCTCTGTTTTCCTGCCTTTTCCCAGTTAGGTCATGTCCCAGTGTGTTTCTTCCTCCTGGCTTTCCCTGGGGGAGCCAGTACCTTTACCTGTCCTTGCCTCCTGCAACGTGTAAGGTCAATTTATTGAATTACTGGGAAAATACGTTTTTCTGATACATTTAGTCTAAAAAGCAGTAGCTCCGTGAGTCACTGTGGAAGGCTGATAACTGGTTACTCCCAAGGCAGGGTACAGAAATGAACACACATTCATTCTTATCTTGCACAGCCGGACCAAAGCAGCTTTCGTTAGAGACAAAACAAGATTGGAGGTCACGTGTTTGCACATTTGCAGGTTAGGAGTAATCTGATTTTCCTTTTTTTAATGAAAAAATGAGCCAATGCATGGTTTTCTCCCCAGCACAGTCCAGAAACGTGAACTGGTGAATCCGGCCAGTATGAAGCAGGCCCTGATTGCATCAGCCCGGAGGCTTCCTGGGGTCAATATGTTTGAGCAAGGCCATGGCAAGCTGGATCTCCTCAGAGCCTATCAGGTCCTCAACAGCTACAAGCCTCAGGCAAGGTTAGTGTGCTCTCCTGCATGGGCCTTTCTCTGCACTGGGTTCTGAGGGCATTTTTCCCTCTGCACAGAATACCAGCCTCCAAACAGGAACCAGTCACTGATGACACAACACTCAGGGCCCCAGGGAGACCATCATGCTGCCACTCATACCAGGGTGCCAGCTAGCTGAACTTGAACTGCTTTCCACTTCCTGATGTTCTGTTACTTTTAATATGAATGTTTTAAAATAACGATTCCCTGTTTTCTTTTTTACTCTTTAAAACTTTCTATTGAAGTAATCTTGGGTGTACAGAAATTTTCAAAAATAGCAGAGAGTTCTCGATTACCCTTTACTCAGCTTCCTCTAATGCCAGTATCTTAGATGACCATAATTCGACTATTAAAACTGACCAATGAACACTGATACTGTTCTGTGATTAACCTCCAGACTTTATTCCCAGTTTGCCAGTTTCCCCCATGTCCTTTGTCCTGTCCAGAATCCAGGTCCCACGCTGCATTTAGTTGTGTCTTCTAATTCTCCTCCAGCTTTTGACAGTTCATGTCGTTTGGTGTCATTCATGACTCTGACTCCTTTGGGAGTGCTGGTCGCTTATTTTGTAGATTGTCTCCTGATGTGGGTTTGTCTGATGCTTTCTCGTGATTAGTTTGAGGTTATATATATTTCATAGGAAGCTTTTTCATTTTTTATTTTGAAACGATTTTAGACTTACAGTATAGTTCCAGAAATAGTACATGGAGATCCATAAACCCTTCACCCAGCTTTTCCTAATGTTAACATCTTACATAACCATAGTACAAGGCTCAGAGCCTGGAAATTAATGTGGATACATTACCATTGATTAATCTACAGACTATTTTCACATTTCACCCACTGTCCCACTCCTGTCCTTTTCCTGGACCAGAAGCCAGTCCAGCATCCCATGTTCCATTTAGTTGTCTCCTTGGTCCCCTTCAGTCAGGGACACTTGATTAGTGTTCTTCCCCTCGTTATTGGTGGAGTTCATTTGCATCATTTAATTTAGGTGATGTGTCAGTCCAGGTCCTCCCTCCAGGAATCAGATGCCAGGATGGGGTTAGCTGTCCCAAGGGATCTGTCGGGGGAAGGGGATATGAAGGATAAAGAGAAGGAGGCAGGAATGGTCTTAGGACTGCCATGCTGACCTGATGCCTGTGCAGAGAGGTGGGAGGAAGACCCTCTGACCACCCATGGCACAGGTCTAAAAGTGTTTCCACTGATGGGAATCCTTGAACCAAAGCCTTGAACCTGTTAGAGGAGCCTGTGTCCCACAGGGACGGGCCTGCCCTGATACCCCTCTATACTCAGTCATTGGCCAGGAGCAGCCTGGGGGGAGCGTGGCCTTGGCACAGATGTGATGGGGGGTCCAGAGGGTCAGCAGCCGGCGGTGTCCATAGCTGTGCTTCTGTAGCAGGAGAGCCGAGCAGCATGATTCATGGTGCCTGCCTTTGGTGGCGTCTGCCAGGTTTCTCCATTGCAGGTACTGTTGGTCCCTTTGTGACTACTAAATGTCGTTTGTGGGGATGCACTTTGAGATGCTCTTGTTTCTTAACATACTTGCACTCACTGCTTTTAGCATCCATTGGTGGTTCTTGTCTACAGTGATTATTACTGTAGAGATTGTCCCATGGTGATTTTCTATTTCTCTCATTCTTCCTACATTTATTCATTGGAAATCTGCTGTAAGGAAGAGCTGCCCCTTCTCTCCCATTTATTTATTTATTTATTCAATGTATGTCTATCAGTATGGACCCATGGATATTTATTTGATTCTGGGTTATAACCCAGTAATATCATTGTTTATATTGTTGTTCACATTGTCTCAGATTTGGCTATTGGGAGCGCCTTCTGGTTGGCTCTTGGGTCTTTTCAGCACGTCTTCATCAATTTGTGAGCACTTTCTCATTTGTTGGCAGCGCAGCAGTTCCATGCCCTTGGTATCAGCAC